TGAAAGGGGAAAAACTTACAAGATTCGAACATGCAAGAATCGGAAAATCTGTTGAACAACTGGGACAGATTATTATTTATAAGCGACACCCTGACCTTTGAGTAAGTAAACGGCTGTTAATCGGAAAATAAGCCATTACTATGGAGGGTAGAACGTTGAGCAGCTGGAACGGAAGAGAGGAACTGAGGAGTTTCATCGATGCAGGAAATAAAAGTAATAGATCGAGGTTCTCTCGTATGAAAGAAACAGATCGAGGTATTTCGCGTATATACTTACGGAGGATACAAGGCGTTGAACCCTTCCGTTTATCCGTTAGGTTATAAAGTACAACAAAGTAAATATAGAGAACACGCGGGTTATGCATAAAGAGCAACCAACATTTTTTTTTATGCCAGTTAAACCCTTGACAAAATTCCCCCTTATAATATTGTAGAGATGTAGAGAAATATCATCTTCCAGCTTATGGATAGAAATCAAATTCTGAACTTTCTAGCTTATTGTTACTCTGCCGAATTTCTGACTCACTCCAAACTTGTGATATTTCCAACTCTTCCTCGATTTTACTACCCCCAAGGTCGATCAGTGAGGCTGTTAGACTCCACAAGTCGTTTTCGTCTTTTTATGTCCCCACATAGTAGTTTGGTGTCATTACAAATCTTCCTGCCACATCGTAGCAATTGGAATAAAACCCTAAATACCTCAAATTGGGCAACAATTTTCACCAAATCGTGTGTTAAGTAGTTATAATGAGAACTCCAATTAGCACAAATAGAGTTAAATTGGATAATGTTGTGGGAGATAAAAATTAATACCATCAATGTTAATAATTCTATTAAGAGCCTCCAAATTGCTATTTAAAGCCACGGAATTAAATATCAAATAAAAAACTTAAATATGTATATTGCCCTTGACCTAATCATTGTTGCAATACCATTAGTAAGAAATCATTTATTGATTCACGAGACGACACAAGTTCGTTCGTGATCAGTATGTTGTTAAACTTTGCATTGACGGCACTGAAGTCGTATGTGCCTCAAAATAAATTCAATACTAACACTTATACGTAGTATATCGTAGTAAAGTTCGTATTCACATGGAAAGAAATACATTTATTTTAAGGAACTTGTAATAAAAAAGGGTGTTTTAGGATTGTTTAATTTAATTAATTTAAACACTAAGATGAACAACTTATATGAGTTTCAATTCAATGAGATAAAAGACTTGACTTTCCTACTTTCCACTTGTTGAGATGTTAGTCGATGCCGGTTATGTCTTTAACTACCTATTATCCCCTCTCGAATACTCAACCGATGAGTATATCCAATTCATCAATGGTTGTTATTAATAATGAGATCGTTCATTAACAACCCTTACTATTAGTCAAATACAGAACATCATCATATACCGACTTAATAGTAGCATTGAATTCCTTTAACTTCTTGATGAAATCAATTGAGATTGATAACTTCAACACAACAGTTTTGGTTTAACCAATACAATTAATCCCTCTTAAGATTATGAGTTTTTTACAAGAATATTACTAATATAAAACTTATTTACATAAATATGATTATTCATTACTACAATATAGTGTTGTAGTAACTTAAGTTCAAAACTTGAGAATGAATTACTATGATTTCATTACTACTCCAGTAACTAGTCATATTTTTGTAAACCATCTTTATTTTGGTCATATTTATGTAAACCACGACCATGCATTAATAACCCGAAGTTTCTTACTTGCAAAACCATCAAGATTAACCATCGATTCGTTGATCGTTTCTACTAGTAATTAATGTTGAAGCGTTAACTAATCGCCACTTAGCAACACCCCAACATTAATATAGAAATAAGATTAAGGAAGAATTAATAGTCAAGAGAATAAGTTAAGAAGATAACTCACAACTTAAACATTCAACAAGCTTCAAGAGCAAATCCAAGAATTTGGAATTTAGCTCCTCATTTGGAGACTAAACAATGTTAGAAAAATATAAAGAAAACACTATTCTAAGTTGAGCTTAAGTATATTGAAAAAGGAATGAATAAAAATGAAGGAAAATGGTGCTATTTATAGGTGTTTAACCCAATCTTGCCGGATATGCGACCGGGTATAGGAGATGCCCGACCGGGTATAGGTCAAGATCCTATCTTTCTAGCACGTCTTTGTGTTCTTTAACATATCTTTTTTCCCGAAATCAATTCATACCCGACCGGGTATTGGAGATACCCGACTGGGTATCGGTACATTTTCGCAGTAGCTTCACATTTCTCTTCATACCCAACCGGGTAAAGGCCATACCTGGTCGAATTTTGCACAAAAATCAGGTTTCTTAATCTGTTTTGCATTCCAATTTTCTCTTAATCTCAAGCCCAACTAACTAATTATTACAACTTACAAATAATTGCTAAAAATACAATTACAATCAAAGTCAAACCAACGACCACAAACTTTTACAATACTGATAAATAAATATCACAAACAATTATAAAAACATATACGTATGCACTAACAATTAGTGCATATCATGCATCTTCCATGAAATAGCTAAATCAAATCACAAAAAAATCCATGACAATAGTTTATTGATTCATGTGATGATATCCAATGTGCACCCGACAATATAAACCATGGGTAGGCAACTATATCCCATTGGGTGTCACCAAAACCCCGAAATTACCATACAAACATATAAACTTAAAACTTAATTTATTTTTCGAAATAACTCACCACGTGAAAAATTGTACCCAAACAGGAATTAAGGGCTTACTCCAACACCCAAGATACTTGAATCTGAGGTTCTTTGGAATGGTGTGGATCATTTTGACTTGAGCGTCTTTGGCCACAAGAAGAGCGGCAATTAGAGCTAAGCCATCGATGGCACGCCTCAAAATGGATTATGCAAGTGTCACTCGATCTCTTATCAAACTCATTCAAGTTGCCGCCATGGTAGACTACAACATTTACATAGTGACTTGAATACCCAAATATGTTTGATAAGAGATAAACCAAGAAAATGAGTTTGATTTGATTGCAAATGAAAGAGTTTGATTTGTTTGCAGGAAGTGCTTTTGTTATAATACAAATGAGCGATTTTTTATATTATTATCGAGAAAACATACAGACAACCTTGAAGGAGTTATTACATATCTAATATTAAGTCTTAGGAATATACATAGAGTCAACCGCATCATAAAACACCATGACTCGCTAAAACGATCAGAACTGAACCACTACCTATGAAAAGTACTCCAAATATCCAAATCAAAACTACTCGAACTCAAATAAAAATAAGTATTACAACAACAAAAATAGAATAAAACTTTTCCACAAAACTTCTGTTGACATAGAGATGATTCAAGAGGAAGACAAGCTGATGCAATACGGGTGAATACTAAATAATTCTTCTTACTTCATTCTAGATAGACGTATAAATAGGTGGAGTAAAAAACAACCTTTATGCCTCTATCATCTTTATGCAACCCAAAAGAAGTCTGACATGAATCCCTGACCAGTCGAAGCTAGCTGGGACATCAAAGAAACTTTCCACACCCAGGGGGACAAAACACCAAGGAGCATTAATGTCTAGGAAAGAACCTCCATAGATTTGTGAAGTTGAGTCATACTCATACCAAAGATCTTTGAGACGATCTCTCCCTTTCAACCGCTTAGCAGCGCCTAACTACCCGGCTTGATGTCGTCTACCTCACTCGTGGACTTTGCTTGCTCACCTAGGCTGCCATTGTCCTCATTTGCCCGTTTTTCTCGCCAGGCGCCTCGCTCGTTCTGCTTCGATCGCCCATTTATCGCTTGTTTCGTCAGTCGCACACCTTACTGGAGTGACAACTAAGGTTTCATCCGCAGATTTGGTTAATGAAAACGTCACAGGTCTCCAAGAAGTTCTTGAAAAAAGGCTAATAAATAAACTTAGAAACTGAAAAGGGTGTTCAAATTTGTAGTGGATGAAGTTCTACCAAGGCTTTTTCTTCCTCTTCGAGTCTGTGAAGAAGATTTGGTGAGGCCACTCTAAATTCTTTTTAGTTCATATCTTCATGCAAGAAGAATGTACGCCACATTGTGTGAATTATGCAGTGTGGAAGCATTCATGGCTGACTCAATATGATGAATCTGTTTTAAGTAATGAGTGCATAATAATAATTATAAATTAATTTGTTTATTATGAAAACCATGGGGCAGTATATAGTATATAGTCCCTCCAACCCGCTAAGATTGTCTCGTTTTTCCTTTTCGGAAAATTACACTAAGCTCATATCAAATTTGGTAAAATTTGTGTGGTTTTAAATCATTTTTACTTTATTTTTACTTTATCAATTCAATATCAATCACATAAACTCACTTTTTTAATAACTGTCGCTTCTTCTTGTCCCAATGTCAACGGGACGAAGATAGTACTACACATTTTGGGATGTCTTAGAAAGGAAATTTGGCAAACTATTTTTGTAGAAAATATGTGGTTGTTTTGAGTTATTCCTCTTAATAGAATCTCCCTTTCATATTCCACACAAATTAGCAAATGTAGTATGAAGGACATCTTATCAAACAACTTTTTCACCAAATATGTAACTTTTGCTTCCGCGCGCTAAATTGTGTTATAAGCAGAAAAAGTAAGGTTTGAATTACTTTTTTGGTTGTATTGACTAAAGTTACTGTAGATGACCACTTTAACTAGTTTTACATATAATTTTTTCTTTATTTTATTAATTAAATATATTTTAAAAATAATTCTTTTTTAAATCAACTGAATCAACCAATACAATCATTTCAGCCAGAACTTCATAAATTTCAGCAAAATAAGTCGAATCAACCGATTTTAATGCTACCAAACGGGTTCCGGCTTAAAAAACACTCCCGAGTCCCGAAGTAAATGGCCCAGATACGATAAGTTGTGGCCTCCTATGAAGTGGATGGGCCAAATGTGAAATGTCCACTCCGGTTGGTGCGCCATCGTTGTGGATTTCTTACTCTTGTTCTTGCAAATCAGTATAGTGCCGGCGTTGAGGAGAGAAAGCTGAAAGAGCTAAAAGCTCAGAGAGCTCAGAGACCGACGAAGGAGATGAGTAGCGGCTGTGGAAGGAAAGGGCCGCCGAAGCACCAGAACAGTTTCGCCTGGAAGCCTAACGGCGGGAAGAAGATCAACGAATCAGAACTTGGAGGGAGGTTCAAGCCTTACTCAGAGATAACTGGTGTTTGCGCACGCTGTAAGGGACAGATAGACTGGAAGCGGAAGTACGGCAAGTACAAACCCCTGACCGAGCCTGCCAAATGGTAGCCCTGTTCTCTTACGCTTTACCTTGCCTTTGAATCACTCTATATTCGTATTCATTCCTACATGTGTGCACAAAGATCAATGTAACCACTTTTATGTGTTTCTAAATCTACAATTTGTTGTAAAACTCTTTAATTTCCTGATGTGCACTAAATGAAATTTAACAGTCAGAAGTGTTCGAAAAGGAATGTTCGCCAAGCTTACCACAATATCTGCAATGGTCAGCTCCTGTTCCTATTTCTTATTGTCTTCATTATAACATATGCTATTATGATTAAAAAAGGGCAGCCAGGCGGAAATGGGTGTGGAGGGACGGGGAAGCGTCCCAGGTGTATAAGGAGAAGCCTTCCCTTGTCATATTGACAAGATGTCGTGACCTCTCGCTCACACATAGGCTATTATGATCATTTCACACATAGGCTATTATGATAATCTTGAAAAATAATTGTACTTGTTATTATGTATGTACAGGTTGTGCAAAGGAGCATAATGTGTGTGCCAAGTGTTCCTGTCGAGTTGACCACATCATTGGAAGGTTTTAATTTTCCTATGCTTTCATTTAGAAACATATGTGCTTTCGATTGTTAAGTAGTCCAGAATTGACGCATTCATTGTGTTAATAGTTGGGTTGCCTATGCAGGTAAAATGTATTTTAATCGTGGTAGTTCATTCATTTGCAGAGATTTATCAGAAATAGAGGCTGAGAAGAAGACTCTGGAAGAGGTTCATGTTTGCTTATGATTATTATCCTTTAGGACATTTACTTTTATGGTTTAGTTTATTTGGCATGGTTTGTGCAGGATCCTGCTACTTGCTGTTTTATGGTTAAGTTTACAAGATTCTTATTTTCTTGCAGGCAATAGTAAATGCACGCGAGAGGGACAAGAGGAGTCTACTACGATCTGTAAGACACTCTCAAAACTTTCAGTTTCTGTGCATATTTGTTTTAGACTTTTTCTAGTATGTACTGTTTAACTTGGTTCACCCTTTTGTTTTGTTATATTTTGCTTGGCAGACCTTTTTTTCTAAATTAGTGTGTAGTTCTTAATATCCTTTAAGTATCTCCTGCATTTGAAATGGGAAGATAGGAAGACACACAGAGAAGAATATTGTCACATTTTTGCTGGATGTAGTTGGCCAAAAACATGGAAAATGTGTGTATGCTTGTGTCCGAATGATCAAGGGCCCAACTGAGGAATGTATAATAAGCCTATAAGTTAATAAGGGGAGGGGATGATGGATTTTGCGGTGAAATAGTACTCCATCAGTCCCAAAAATAGTCCTGGTTCAAAAACGTTTTTTGCTATACTAGTAGACATGGTTCATCAAACGAAACCATTTTTTAATGTAATTTGCACAAAAGAGTCATAAAGTTGAAACATGTTAAATGTTACTCCCTCCATTCCTAATCATTGCTCCATTTAACTTGGCTCAGTTTGCTTTCCTTAAAAGGAAATGTGCCATAATTTTGGGAGAGATGAGAGTGTAGATAATTAATGGACAGAAGGTGCATAACTTTAGTTGAACCACTATAAATTATTTTAAATCTTCAGTCTGTCTGATGTATATGTAACAACAGATGAACAAAGGAAAATTTCTCAATTCAGCGAAATCCACATGCCAGAATGGCAAAGTGGGTGAAGTAGTCCCGGGGTCCTCATCAGTTGAACAAGACGCTGGATCCGCCCATGGTGACAATGATGCTAAAATTTCAACCCAAAATGATGAGTTAGCTGACGACGATGATGATGACAGCATCAATAATGATGAGGACGAGGAAGAGGCTGACGATGATGACATTAGTAGTTGAGATGCATTGTCATGGAATGTTATTGATCTCAAGAATTTTATATCCCCTACATGGATTTTGAGTATGTTCTATACCCCCCTTGGGTAACTTGAGCTATAAACTAGATGAAAACCCATTAAAATTTGATTTGTTCAGCCAGTTTTCAACATAGAAGCTTTCCTTTTTGCTGCAGATGGGGGTGGGGTGGGGTGGGGCATATGGTCAGGATCATTTGGTGGAATTTTCTGGAAGGAAAAGCTTTTGGTAAAATCTACTTCAACCAAATAAGTAAAAAGTTACTTATTATGCTTAGAGTCTAAGCAGGGAAATTTGTTGATTCAGTCCCGTAACTTATAGCTATATCCGATATTGGTCCTGTAACTTTATAAACTTGCAATTTACATCCCGTAACTAATAAGTTGGTGCAATTTTGGTCCTTCTCTGCCGGAACTTATCAATTTCGCCGGAAAAAGACACATCACCTGCCACATGGTATATTATTTGGAACTCATTTGCTGACTCAATATTAGCCCTTAGCTGGAGTTAAAAAACCAGAGTACGAAAGCTCTTCGCTGAGTGCGTGCACAACCATACCAAGCCTATTATCGGATCTGCAAAAGGGGGGGAAAACATATACCTCTACCTGAAGATTTCTCCTGAACTAAGTCGAGAGAGTGAGCTATTCTTCAAATCTGCTAGTAACGGCTCTCGATCAGACAAAAGTTTATGGAGTGTGATTGTGGTAAAAAGGGTTCTCTTCTAACTTCTTGGACTGATAACGATCCTGGAAGGAGGTTTCGTGTGTGCGCTAGAAGCAGAGTAAGAAGTTCAGCTTTTTAATTTACATTGTTTGCTTCTTTTTTTACTAAATAAACTAGAAATTTAAGAATAGCATTTGAATAATAAATTTGTTTGAAAATTAAAATGTATTTTATATTTTAAGCTGGGTTCTGCTAATAAAATTACCATCTTCTATTTGTTGGGGGCATTTGATAATGTATTTTGTGTTCAAAGCAGTAAAAAGTAAGTTAAGCTTCATCTTGTTATGATACAGACAGAAGGTTGTAGATTTTTTGAATGGGCGGACCCACCTATGTGCCACCGTTGAACGATGATAATTTCGGGATTGGTTAGAAGACTCAATTCAAAAGAGGAAGAGGTTGTAAAGTTGAAGACTAAAAATAAAAGGTTCCTCATAGTTGTTATGGGGCTAGTGTTTTTGCTCCTGGTCTTTCTCATGTTAAAGATGTGTGAAGTGAAGATCATGTAACATTTCAAATGCTTTATTCTTAAAACATGAATCCAGAAAGCTTTAAACTTCATTCAAAATGCTCCTGCTGCAACCAAGAAGAAATAATTTTTTAACTCTAGCCAAGGGTCAACATTGAGTCAGCAAATGAGTTCCAAATAATATACCATGTGGCAGGTGATGTGTTTTTTCCGGTGAAATTGGTAAGTTCCGACAGAGAAGGATCAAAATTGCACCAACTTATTAGTTATGGGATGTAATCTGCAAGTTAATAAAGTTACAGGACCAATATCGGGTATAGCTATAAGTTAGGGGACTAAATCAACAAATTTCTCGTCTAAGCATAATAAGTCGAATATGACTACCAAACAGAGCAGAATATTTCTATTCGTATAAAGATGCAATTGCACATTTTCGATAAGTTTCGGTACAAAATTCTGATTACTTTAAATAAGTTGCCTGTATATTATACCTTCAAAAATTCTAGTTGACCAGAGCGATAGGGTAGGGCATATGATCAAAACAATACATAGAATAGCAAAAGAATTGCAGAAATCGATGGTGAGAAGAGGAGTGTGTGTTGGTATGGAGCAGAGTTGGGTAGATATGGGTAAGTATCAGGTGGTGGCAACATGCACTCATCTCCATTGAAGTACACCTTCCTGGGAAATCCCCATCCTTGCTTGAAGCTGAAGCTGTCTTTGTCCTTCTGGAGAAGAACTTCTGACTGTACAGTCCCGAACTTCCCAGCCTCCATTAGCAAGTCATTGTAGAACTTCATCCCATAGAACATTCCTGTGTCATCTGCACATGTATATAAAGACAACTCATGTCTCACCTACCTTTCATCATATAACATGGAATGCAATCCTCAGATTGTTTTTTTATAATGTGCTTACTGATGGATCCGTAGGGAACGAGTGGTTTGTAATCAAAGCTGAAAACTTGTGTCACATTGTTGAGATTAGGGTGTTGAACAACGAGTGTCCATAGCGTGTAATTCATCCTATAGTTGAAGTTTGTTATGGAAATTTTCACCCGCCAGTATTCTTTGTAGTTGATCTTCACATGCCAATGAACCCTAATAGGGCACATGTGTTGTGTGCACTGCAATAATGGCGCATTATCTTTTCTTGGAGTGTTTATCCCTACTACACTTAGGAGTTTTGAATCCTGTCTGCTCGCAATCAATCACAAGTTTTCTCAGACTTTGACACCATAACAAGATGATCTTTTATAATGGAATTGAAATTTCGATACGACAATGATTTGCCTTACTTGATGCATTTGTTTTTGTTTTCACATCCGCAAGCACAATGCTGGCAAGGAGTGATAGTTTCATTGTAAAAAGTGGAAAGTGATACGCAACAACTCGGGTGTTTGCGTGCTAGAAATTGAGAATATGTGCATGTTACATTCCATGTCACTGCATAAAAGTAGAAATGCTGAAGTGTTAGATTTCAAAATGCTGTAACTTTCCTTATCAACCATTTTTGTAAAGAAGCACACACTTATTTAACAGAGCTAGTTGATAAGTTGAAAATATGTACTCCATAACTAGTTTCTATTTATGTTTACTCAGCAATTCCATGATTTGCCCAAATCATTATTTTTCAACTTTTTTAGATAATTCTCCAGATACCCATTTAGGCACATTCAACAAAGTCAGTAGACTTGGGCACTATATAGAATGTGAGGGAAGACTTACTGAGAGCCTGTGTGTTACGTCTGAGATCCGTGGTAAAAAATTTAGTTGATGGGACAATCTTCGCTGGACCGCAAGTGTAACCGGGTCCAGGCCCGAGTAAAGTGAAGTTCTTAGGGAGTTTGACAGTCTTGTTTGTAGTACCAGCTTGGCCCACACTGATTTGGAAAGCAGAAACTGAAGACTGAGGATCTTGTCCCCAAGAAGCCAAGACTCCACCTTTGCAGCAGTTTGAGAATTGTTGGTTGTAAGGAACACCAGGAAGTAAGTCTACCACTTTTGGGGTCTTCTTGCAGCAATGCGGTATAGCCGCTTTGAACATGGAGCAGTCGCCTTGGTCTGTGGTTTGTGCACCCACCATGGACCAGATCACTTCTTTCTTGGCCCATGTCCAGCCCAGTGTCCATCCCGGGCTCAGTATGTGTCTATACATTTGCAAATTGTTTATGGACACCGTTGCCTAATATGCCAATGTCCAACAACAGCTAAATTAAAACATCAGCTCTTTTATGTAAGCAGTATGGAATTCCATGTCTTAGATTTAGAAGAATGTTTTTTTGTGTTTGGCATGTGACTATACTCTCTTTTTCAAAACATGAAAATACCCCCCCCCCCCCCCAAATATATACATATGTATATCTATGCGTGTGACCAGAAATTATTTTTTTGGGTTCTTTTTGTGTGGAAAGTGAATTCATACTTTGATAATTTAGTCTTGTTTTTGAAGGTCTAACACTGTGTTATACGGAGTATATACTAATTTATGCATATACACAGCTTATTTTACACATGAAAATAATTTTATGGAAAATCTTATTTCCGTGCAAAGTGTTTTTTTTCAAAGTTATGTTCCCAGGAAATGTTTTCCACGGAAAAGTATTTTCCTAGAAAAATATTCCAATGTTTAGCTTGCAAAAATAGAAAACACAAAGCTGTTTCAAGAAACAGAGAAATTAGCTTTCACGAAAATATGCTGTTTTAGCATATTAATCCGTTGTAAAGAATCAAGTAAAATAATTTACTATAGCAAAAATCAGGTAATATTTTCCTCGGAAATGTTTTGATGTCTTCCATGTATACAGAACAGAACATTAGGAAATAAAACAGTCACAGAAGTACTCACCACATAGCCATCTGGTGTCCAAGACATAATATCCCATTTAACTGTGATATTCCCAGTTGGATCCAGAGGATCATAGGCAGCTGTAAATTAAGCAATAAATATTTAAGTGCTTATACACACTAAAGAGATCAAAATCGAAGGTCTCAGTAATGAAAAATATAAATACCTGCATAAGAACAAAACATGGCTAAAACGCAAATTGCAATGAAATTTCTCATATTGTCTATGGCAGTGATCTTTGTCAATAAGAGCAGCATGCATTGGTTAAATGGAACTCTAAGATGATGCTATCTTACCAACTGGTTGTTGGTTGATAGAAGAGAGGGAGAGAGAAGGGGTTGCAACTCATTTCAGATAATCGCTCTTTATTTTTGTTTGTACAAGAGATGTCTAAATCTTAAAGCAAAGAGGTTGTTGGAGACACATTGGTTTGAAACCAAATTTTAAGTTATTTAGTTCATTTAGAAAAGAGCTGTGCTGTTTGCTCATCACTTTTTTTAATTTTCCCTAAATAGGAGTACAAACGTTTTTGAATTTCAAAATATGACTATTATATTTTTGTTCCTAAATAAGATTAATTACTGTCATGTTTTGACATTATCAGACTTTAAACATGTCAGCATTTCCTAAGCCTGATAATAGTTACTCATATTTAGGGAATAACAATATAGTAATCCTATTTTGAAATTTCAAAACATTTTTACTCCCATTTCGACAATTTTCCCTTTGTATAGTACACAAGCAAATCTTTTGTCGCATAGACATCGTTTCCTGAATTGTAGGTGCACAAATAAATGTATATATTGAAGAAGGTTTGGTAACACTGAAATTGGTTGAATTGACTGAATCTACTAAAATGAATGAAATATTGGTTGAAATGTCTGGATTGACTGAATTGAATGAGCTGAATAAAGGATACATTATATTTCAAATAAAACTTATTACTAATACTAAAGAAAAAAAATAAACGAAAATAGCTAAAACGATTTTCTCTTATACTAATTTTAGCCACTTTAGCTAGAAAATTAATCCCAACTTTATTTATTTTGATTTTTGACCTCAAAATATGTGATTGAGAAAATTTTAGGGGCTACCAAAAGTGCATTTAGTCAACATCCTTATGTCAAGATATATTGTAGTTTGTACGAAGTACTAGTGAAAAAGTAGGGTAAGGATGGCTTGGGGATGCCGTGATTGTGCAATAATATTGAATCGACAACCAATTTTCATTATACGGAGTAGTTTACATGTAGCCGTACATAGAGAATTTTAGAAACTCTAGATAAATACTTGTGACCATTTGAATTGCCACCATATCCAGTTATATTGATCCATTTAGATATTGCATGTTCTAGAATGAATCAGATCGCTAGTTTAACCAGAATTAATGTTTTTTTTGTCAAAGTCATTCACTCATTCTCCACCGACAATATACAAATATATACGGGGTATACAAGTCCACATATAAGCCATCCACTACGACTTTTTTTTTTTACTCTGGGAGGTCTGGGGGAGGGGGCTGGGGAAGTCTGAAATAATGAGGGTTGAAAATCACTCTATTGAATTCCAAACCTTTATGTGCCTAGCGAGTTTCGAACTCGAGACCTTCCATTACGACTCTTATTAAATTGATATTTTGAGGCCGTTTGGCAGCATTATTTTTTGGCTTATCAGGCTTATGTTTTGCAGCACTATTTGGCAGCACAATTCACCAAACACGTAATTTTTACTTTCGCGCGTTGAATTGTTTAATAAGCAGAAAAAGTAAGGTTGGAGGTACTTTTCTGGCTGTATTGGCTGAAGTTACTGTAGATGATCATTTTAGCTATTTTTAGATATAATTTTTTCTTTATTTTATTAATAAGATATATTTTAAAAATAATTTGTTCTTAAATAAGCAGAATTAGCCAATGCAGCTACTTCAGCCAGAACTTCATAAATTTCAGCAGAAACAACCAAAAGAACCGATTTTTGTGCTACCAAACGGGCATAATTTGGAATCACAACCAAGATGATTTTAGGTAGATTGAAAATTTCTAGTTTGGCATGATCGGGTATGACCTAGTCTATTTTGGTCTACTCCAGCCTAGTCTATTTTTTTTCTTTCAAAAAAGAAAAAAATATCGAAGTCTTGTATGATCAAAGTAACAATTAGAGTACCTTTAAGAATGCAAGCACTAATTAACATAATTTTGTCTCTAATTGAGGTAACAAATGAAGTACTTCGTACAAGAAAACGCACTATTTTACGCTTATTGATCAGTACGTGGGTTCTTATGCCATTAATGAGAATTGAATTGACTTTTTATATCATACTCCTCCGTATAAAGATTATCATAAATTTATAATAAAGTATAGGATGATCCAAGATATCCCCATAAGATTGGTTCACAGTTAAAATGTTACACAACCACGCAATACTAAAACCAGAGAGTACCATTTCGCTCACACAAATACATAATTTAAGTATAAACTTGATCTTTTCGTTATGATAACTAACCCCGTAATTAGTAATTAATGAATAATATTTTTTATTTTGGTCTAAGTATTACAGTAATGTTTTTTAAAAAGTATTACAGCTACTAAATGATTTAAGAGAAAATTTCTTAAACGAGAGTATGTAAATCACAATATCTCAAACACAAGTACCGTTATTCTTCTACGGATTATTTTAGTAGGGCTAAATATGTCATATTTAGGAAGGAAATATATTCACCCTAAATTTTAGAATTTTGTTTATGTTTAATGTTTAATTTTACTCTCATTTTAAGTAATTTCTTACGGGGTATGCATGATTTAAGTCCTTGTTGAAGTCGGATTAGTCGGGGATATGGTAGGGGTGCAAATTTGAGGTAATACGAGACATTTCTTTCAGCTGAAGAGTTAAGTAAAGAAATTGAAATGAAAGTTTGGTGGAACTAATTAAGGGACAAGTAGGAAGTCCAATTCACATATGAGACATCCTAACCGGCAACTTTTCATTTTTAACTTGTATTTTGACCATCAAGTCATTTGTTGCAATTAAGATAATTTCATGAAAATGTTCATTACCCCTCCGTCCCCCAATTAAGTTCCTGATTTGACTTCACACATATTAAGAAAATAAATATGACTTTATTGTGGAGTGCATTGTTTGGCACTGCTTAAATACTGTTTGACACTGTTTTGCACTGTTTTGATGTAGATAATTTGTCAACTAAGAAAAGTATTGAAGTGTGAACTTAATTTAGAGACTGCCCAAAAAGGAAAGTGAGAACTTAATTGGGGGACAGAGGGAGTATAGGAATTATTGGTTAGCACTTCGCATTCACTAGACATAATCGATGTTTCATGCATGTTTGGGTTGAATACGATATTAATTAGTTGTTTTTAATTGGACTCAATTTTTTTGATATTGTCTCATCTGGTCTAGCCTAGTCCAAACGGGTCTGATTAGATAAATGTATGATCTCTATGTATTTTATAACTGTTTAAGTCTGATATGGTATTCTGGTCTGCTTGAGATTTTTTTTCAAGAAAAGTAATTCATCCAACAAGCTAAGAACTTCATCTTCCAACTACAAATCAAAGAACAACGATCAGAATTCCTCTCGAAAAGCAGTTGCAGCTGAAGAACCTCCCAAATGGTTTAGCTGTGGAATAGCTAGACATGTCATCAAGGATTGTCGCTTATCAAAGAGGAGGGAGTTCAATTACTACAAACATAAAATGATGTTGAAACTTCACAAGGGGGTCACCCATCCCAAGACTACCCCGTGCAAGCACAATTACCGTTGGAGTTCTTGGGTGATGAGTTCCTTTAAAAGGAAATGCACCTTGTTCTGGTCTGCTTGAGATTATGTGCATATCCTTTTACATCGAACTTTATCCATAGTGATTGAATTTATCAATCTTTTGTATGAACATGTTTACATTTGGTTGAACTTTGATATTTTGCATGTTAGTATTGCATATTTATTACAAATTAAAAGTAGGTAATTTTCATTTTCCATTATAATATGGGGCCTCAATTTAGTATTAGCAATAAGGCATCCAAAATTCATTAGATGACCATATATGTCCAGTTATAGAACTTACTTGATAACTTTCCTTAAAACTCCTATATTGTTTAATTACACCGACAATCTTTTTCTTTTTGCTACTTACAAGTCCACTAACCTGGTACACCACCAATGGACCAAATCCAAGATCGAAATAGATATTCGGAATATCATATTCCCTTTGTTCAAGTGTGTTCATCTTGGCCAGGTCGTTTGCTCGACATACCTTAATTAGCTTCCCACTTCTAATATGTTAGAATATTCACAAATGGCCTTGTGCGAATGTTGTTTGATAACTTTAATTTGAGACAAGTTTGCGGATTATAAAAATGTTTGGTGTACACATTTTAGTGTACACCTTTCGTGCACTCATCTATCTCATGCACACAGAATTGTCTGTCCACCAAAACGTGTACACCTAGCACAGCCTTGCGGATTAATTGCCTTGTCAATTACTCGATTCTAAATCTTGAGTACGTGTTAGTATTGATGTGCTCAACTCACATACTCAATAATTGTAGGGATCAAGTAAGGGGTCTTTATGACACCCACAAAGTTACAACCTCAAGACAATCAACTAAGTAAGCAACCCAAACTAGCACACAATCAAATTACCACACAAAACCAGCACTATTGCAGAATATAAAGCATAACAAAGAGCGGAAATAAAGCACACGGAGCGCACACCATTTTTTTTACGTGGAAAACCCTTCAACGTGAAGGATAAAAAACCACGGGACCTCTTGAGGAGTCCACCCTTAATGTGTAACAATAACAAAGATTCACAGCCCACCAACAATCAACAATAACAATAAGAGATCAAAATAGCACAATAAGGTGTAAAAATCACCCAAAACTGCAGGTCTGTTCGTGAAGCGTTTCTGACCAAACCAGAGCTCAACTGAACAATCCATCGTTCAAAATGAAGCCCTTGAAGTCACAAACAAGCTGTCCAAATTTCAGCAAAATCCGACCACGACAACACCTCCGATCGACGATCTGAACGTAGCAGCGCATTGCAGGCCAAAACGGGAATCTGCCAAAAACTTCTGTTTTTGCGTGTGTGCGTTTCACTATCTGCTCAGCCTTCTAGTCTGATATTTTTCAGCAAGATAAACTCCAAAAAACTTGTCTTAGAAGCCCAAATCTCAATATCAAATGGAGCCAAAAATAGGACATAAAAATCCATCAAACAAAGCCAAACATAAACAACAAAAGCAATACTCCGTATAAAATATTGCAAATATGAGCTGGACCCATAACACTAATATGTCTAGCATCTTCTATGTTTAACATATACAGAGTAACTTTTAGGTGCTAAGAATATTCTCTCCTGATTTGGCATTCGATCGAGTTGAAACATACCCAATTCTTGCAGAAGG